ACCATCATCATCATCATCATCATCGTAACCATCATAATCACAACCGTCATAATCCTGATCAATATAACTATCAGCGCCATCATCATTATCGTTATCATCCTCACCCTCTTCGTTATCATCATCACCCTCTTCGTTATCATCATCATCATCGTAATTATCCTCTCAATGGAGACATCTTTATCATCTGGGCCAGGCATATCCTTCACAACATTAATCTCTCACAACATCATCATTATCATCGTCGTCTTCATCATCATCATCATTTGCATCTAACATAATCATCATCGTCATTGTAATTGCTATCATTATCATCATCGTTATCATCACCATCATCATCAATAGAAACACTTTTATAGCAGTTTCTACCATTCGAAAAAAGGCATTCTCTTCATCAATATTATATTATCATCCAAAAACAATTTAAACATCACTATCATAATCCTCGTCATCATCACCACCATCGTCGTCATCATCATCAGCAGCGTTGTCATCATCGTCACGTGGTCTCTCACAAAAGTCATTATCATCATCATTTTTACCCTCATTAATCATAATGGTGGAATGGAAGCAAAGTGATCATAATAAATAAAAGATTTGGCTATTACTACAGCTACTATTATTAACAAAAGGCTATAACAGTTGAAAACTCTCACGCACACACACACAGACACACACACACACACACGCACGCACGCACACGCACACACTCACACAAATTCAACTCTAACCTGTAGAGCGTTGTAGAGAATTTGATGCTCATATTTCTTGATGCTAAGAATATTCTGAAAGAGATCAAAAAGCTGCTCCTTAGTGAGGATTGCCTCTGAACTTCCCATGTTCACCATGCCCATTCTCTGGGACCATTTGCGTGGGTCTTCGTCTCCTCTGAAGATCTGATCAAACTTTCCCATCCAGGAGTTGAGGACTGTTTCTTTTGGCAGGCCCTCGATCTCTGGCAGACGACGAATTCGTTTCTCTATGTTGTTCTGAAATTTTTTGAAAGTTATTCATATCATATCAACGAACATTCAAGTGTTATTTCAATTCACAATACTTGAAGTGCAATCCAACTCACGGCTTTCAGTTATGGTTCGTCAAAAATTTTTATAAACATCAGGAAATTTAAAATTAGGCATCACTTCCCACACAAAACTTTTTTTCATTTTTAAAAGTAATAATTTAATAAATGTTAATTGAAGAGAAACTGTTGAATAAAAATAAAATGAACATACGACAAAATATGCACCAACTTTAAAAATATCTCTGAAGTCACTGGCAGAACAGAACCCTCCTTTCACCATCGATGCCACACGTTCACTCTTCAAAAATGATTCATAATAACTCTGAACAGCATTCACAAATGCCTCATCAGCTGCAATGCAAAGCTCTCCTCTTAAAAATGACTGAAACCTCTCTTTGGTTGTTTGCAGCTGTTGTTTTGTAAGTTTTGTTTGTCGCCTCACCATATCGGTCGGCTGTTTAGCATTGAATGGGTAGGCTATACATCTCATGACAAAGACATAAATTTGTAATTTCTTTCTACGAATTTCCTCTTCTTTCTCCGCTTTCTCTTGTTCAGTTTCTCTTTCAGAAACTTGTGAGGGACTGGGACTTGAAGGTCTGGGTTCGCGAGGATCACTCCTTATACTACCCCCTGCCTTGTGAATCAAATGGGCCATATTTGCCGTTCCTCCACCGATCATTCCCTGAGAACCACCAGCACCACCTGAAGCGGCCGCAGATCCGCCACTAATCATTCCACTCCCTGACATGGTGGACATGCTTCGTTCCTGTATAAAATTATCCCTTCCACTGGAAGAATAATTGGTGAAACCATCCCGGTGTTGCGAAGAAGTGTCGCTATTTGTGGCACTGACCATGGATATACTTCGTTGATCCATTTGTTTGGGGAAGCCAGGCCTGCTGTGGCTGTCAACGTAGGAAACTTCTTCATGGTGCCCCGGACCCCTCTCCCCGTCAGATTCTTCACTAGATGATGGGTCCAACATGATTTCTTATTTGCATCCGTTTGTGAAGATCAACAAATAAACCGACAATCACAACTATTTTATTTTAAATTTATGTAATTAATGATTTCAAAATTTAAATTTTAATAATATTTCATTAAAATGCCAAACTAATTGCTTGAATAAATAACATTTTTTATTGATTAATTATTGAGCTCTAATATGCCACGTCTATTATATTGTATTATTTTGATAATTAATTTTCCCTTTATTTCATATTTATCTTAATTCTTAATCTTATATTTATATTTCATTTTATTTTTGGCAAATCCAAAATATAAAAAACACTCATCTCTTACTTCATCAACGAACAAACATTATTAAAAGAAACGCAAACTAAACTCGGAAAATACAAATATTATTCCAAATAAATTATTTTAATAACTCAAAAAAGAGCATTAGATTTCATTTTGAGAAGTTTGAAGGAAATTAAAAAGAAAATACAAATAGATTGTATAACGATGACTGCAGTTGTTGCAGCAGGTTCTTGTATACATTTAAATGGCCTGGAGATGTAACTGCATCCTAATTAAATGAGAAGATATTTCGATTTCTCTTCTAATTGAATCAACAAGCAAATCGATTTTTAATTATTTTATTAATAAAATTTTTATGTATATTTCTATTTAATACAATCAAATAAATAATTTTGTCAAATATTTCCCTTTTTTGAAATTTTTAACATTTTGTATTATCTTGTATGGTCATATACGGTTGCACGCATATTGCAAGTTCATACTGAGTTATGTAAAGGTTAGAACAGACTCAGTGATTTCTACTTAACCTCACCGTTCATGTGCATATTTGCAGCAAATTAACTCATAAATTCGATGCTTTCAATCCATTCTTCAGGGATCCAGTAGCACTCAGGATGCTTTCTTCTTTCAGCTAGGAATTTCATTGAGAAAATATGATTACATGGAAAATAATGTATGATATTTTTCAATCGATCACTTTCTGATTTCACTTTCCCTTTCAACCGCACTGTTCAACATTTGTACTCTGGTCGTTAACAATTACTTTACTTATTTCAAATATGAATAAAAATTATCGCAGAAAAATACTTACAAGCATTATTTCTGACGTAAACCCAAGGACTAGGAGAGATTTTTAGTTTCTCTGTAGATTTTTGTAAGAGTTCGATTTGCGCGTTCAAATTTTGCTGCTTCTTGGGCGTCATCGTGTCCTGGTCGTCGTTGATGTTTGCCTCTTCAGCGTTTCTTTTGCGATGTTGAAGGAGATCAGATGCAACTACTTCCAGAGAATCTCTTCTGCTAGGTGCTTTTGAACCGTGCTTCATGTGAGGTTGGGCAAAGTCCTGCAGCGTTTCTTCGGTAGTTATTTTATTCAACATGAATGAGTTGATCTTATAAAAATGATTACAAGCAATGAAAAAACATTAAGTGTAAAATTAGCAAAAGATTTATGCTTTGCCATAGCAAAATTACCATCAGCTGGACAAGCGCTGTCCGAAATTTTCATTTGTATGGATTGTTCATTTGAAGAGGAGTTAATCATTTCGCTGTCATCGTCCTCATCGTCATCGACATCAATATACTCGCTGTTACTCGCATCAGCTGCATCCACGGCTTTCCCTTCGAAGCATTCAACATTTCCAGGATTGTTGGGGTGAGGATCGAATTTCGTGTGCTTGCTCGGAACCACTGGTGCCCCTTCGTTCACTTTCGGGTGAGTGCGTTTCTTTTTTTTAGAACGTGAGCGGGAGTGGCCTTTTTTGGATATTTTACTCCGTGTACCTGAACCTTGCCTACGACTGTTTGATCCCGTCGGACCGGCTGAATTTTTTCTTTTATTTGGCATCATTCACAAAGTTTTCATTCTCAAACAAAGGACTTAATTAATTTGATAACGAAACGCCTTTACACAGCTTGTAATACAAATTTTGCCGATTATTTTCAAATTTTGAAAGCTATGACCGTGCGTCCGTGGAACTTTTGAAAATATTCGAATGCTGAATACTCTTACTCCACTTGTTTACAAGTTACGTCAAAATATCAACATTATTTATTTTTAAATGTTCAAAATTGATAGTTGTTACGTCATCAAAAAGAAAAAAAATTGTTCAATCATTAAAAACACAAAAAAGCGTCAATAAAAAATATTGTAGTTCTATTGATTTTCATCAGAATCTGATTCGTATGGAAGCTTGCCAGGTTTTTCAGTGGGTTGGATTGTTTTAGAAACCTTTTTGTTGCTAGGTTCAGACTCCAATTTCTGTCCATCTGCATCAACACCTTTGCGATCATCACTACTGCCATGATTATCACCATTGTCCTTATCATCATCATCATCATCATCATCATCATCATCATCATCACCATCACCATCATCATAAAGTAAGTCACCGGGTTTCGTTGGTAATTTTTGCTTACGAAAGACAACATTGGAACGTTGTTTGTTATTTTTTCTGATTTTATACAATGAATCAAACATTCCTGTGTTGTTGGGGTTGTTGAAGGATGTGGTGAGTTGAAACTCGCGCACGATGAAGCTAGCGTTGATGTGGGCTGTTCTCGCCGAAATGTTTGTTTCACTCGTTTTTCCATCAAGTGTTCCACTGTTGTCGTCTGTTTTATCTTTAGTATTTATTTCATTGTTCGTTTCTTGCGCGTTCGCAGTTGAATTAGTTTTTTCGGTTTCGTAAAATTCGACATTATCACCAGTTACTGCTATAAATTTGTTTTCATTTGCAAGATAATTCTCCGATCTATGATCATGATAATCTTCTTCAGAAATATGAAATATACTCTCATGTGTATCTTCCTTATCATCTTTACCGTCAGCATCAGTTCTGGAAGCATGATCATCTTTTCCATGATTGTCATCACTTTTAACACCACCATCGCCATCATCTTCATCATCATTATATGCTATGTCACCAGCCAAAGCTTGGTCAATAAATAAGTTTGTGTTACTTTTCTTGTCATTTCTATCGCTACCGTCGTAAGAATCACCATTAATCTTAGAACCATCCATAAAATCTTTATTATCTTTATTTAAATGTTTTAAAAAGTTTTTATCATCAGCGTCGTCGTTGTAATCATAATTTTGTTCATCGTCATTGTCATCACTACCAAAAACCTTACTATTATTAAAATTTGTCGGTAGTAATGCGTAGTTTTTACTAGTGTTGGATGGAATCGTTTCACCAGGTTTCGTTAAATTTAACGGTGAATTTCCAGCAGCAATTTTATTAATTCCTTGTTTATTAAACAGAACTGATCTACTACTACTACTACACGCGTAGTTGTCGTCTTCGTCATCGTCTCTGGCATCGTCCGTATTTTCCACATTATATGTTTCACTTTTTACATCTGCATCCATCAATCCTGCATTATCAATTTTCTTTAAGTTATCTTTCCACATCTCGTAGTTTGATGGTGGAATATTTTTTTTTACATGAGTAGTCTTTTTGAGAAGTGAATTGTACTTGTCTCTAATGTGTTTCTTAGCGCGAAGGCAATTATTTCTGGTGCCAACAACTTCTATAGAATTCTTACCAGGTATTAATTTTATAAAAACATCTGGGAATCTCTTATTTAATTTTTCAATTTCCCTAACAGTCGGAACTTGATGGATGTTGAAAATTTCAGACGTCATAGAAGATAAAGCACTTTGACATAGCATGCTCAAATATTCTTTCATCAGAAAACAATTTTGTCTGCCGTCATCAGCTGAACCAGCAACATCCTTTTTTTGTGTTATAATGACGACTATTATTCCTTCACTTTCAACAAATGTTTGCAATTCTACTGAATATTCAACCGCTTTTTCTTCTAAATTGTTCATTTTCTTTAAAAGCATCCAAATATTTTCGTCAAATTGCATTTCTTCAAAAACATTCGATGGCGACGATGAATCAGAATCACGTTTGCACTGCTGGTAGGCAATATCCAGTTCAACTTCAGAAACGTACTTGCATACTTTTAGGAATTGTTTTAAGGTTTTGCATTCGAATGTACAACTGTCTCCTTTCCACGAAACTGACACATCACCAATTTGATTAAATTTTTCCTGAAGATTGGTCTTAAAGTAGTCATTGGACATCATCTGCCATGTTGTATCAAATGAAGCCGATATGTTTCTTAACATTTTTTGGTCCTGTTGAAAATAGAAATCTTTCAAAATCAGTTCTTTTGATTGCTTAAATTTTTGAAAATTAAAACGTATACATTTTATTACATGTAAAAGTTCAAATGATTGGTAGAAAGTTTAACCAATTTGTTTTACGAGGTTAGAAAAATTGGGAATCCCCAAGTTTTCAGTATCGATATGTCTGCTGAACAAGTAGCCAAGAAAAATCAAACTTTTTATTTTTTTGGACTTTAATTGGCCAGTTCATTTGGTTCTACTACAATCGGTTTATTTAAATTTAAATGCTAACTGAAAAGCTTTTTCAAACGACGATATTTTACATTAGTTGTTTATTCAAATTATTTTGTCTATGCTGCATATAAACGATAATTAATGAATAACCTTACGAATTTAAAACTTTTAATTCAACTTACATTTAAAAGAAATTATTGTAAAATCATCTCAAACAATGTAAATATTTCTTCGCTTGTTTTTGATAAATTTAAATTTGATGTTGTGGTGGTCGGTGGGGGTCACGCCGGATCCGAAGCTGCTGCTGCATCTGCCAGGATGGGTTCCTCCACTGCCCTGATCACCCACAAATGGAGCACCGTTGGTAGATTAACTTACTTACACTTTTTAACATTTTTCTTTTGTACATTATTAAAATATCTACTTAATTTATGACTAAGTTCAATTTTTTATGATTTTATATTATAATTATATTTATTTTTATAACTTTACTTATACTAGAGTATAAGTCATAAGAGGTCTATAAATAAGTCAAGTACATATAAATAAGTTTGCTTATAATTAATTTAATAATCTGCTAAATTAAATCTTACTAGTAGTTAATATAGTATAGTAGTGTAGAGGTCTGACAAGTTAAATTTCTTTTATTAATAATGTTTATTCATTAATTTATTCATTAATCTATTAATCCAGGTGCTATGTCATGCAATCCAGCTTTTGGAGGAATAGGAAAAGGTCATCTGGTGAGAGAAGTTGATGCTTTGGACGGCCTTTGTGCCAGGGCATGTGGTAATAATTTGTTTAAAAAATATTTCTAGATTTTAGTTACACTATATTTCAATTTTTTACAATAACGCTTACAATATTGAATATTATATGAATCTATTAAAAAAACTTCAAAATTTACAGATCAGTCTGGGGTCCATTATAGAGTGTTAAATAGAAAGAAAGGACCAGCTGTTTGGGTATTTTATTATTATTACTATTATTATTGTTTGTTATTACTCATAATTTGCCATTATTAATTATTCTACCATTTATTTATTAGTTTTATGGTTGCTAATATATTTTTAATTATTTTTACCTAGGGACCTCGAGCACAAATAGACAGAAACTTATACAGAAACTTCATTCAAGATGAGTTATCAAAAACACCAAATCTAGTTTGTTTAGAAGGTTCAGTCGAGGATTTGATACTCGAGGAGTATGAGAAAGATTTCAACGATGGAGACAGTGTTAAGTGTTCTGGTGTCGTTTTAGGTTGTGTAGTTATTGATAAATCATATTTTAAATTATTTTCAGTAGTTCATTCTGTTAAACGTTGTTAAACATTTATTAAATATCAAAGATTAAATATTATTTTTCTACTCTTTGATATTTTAATTTAATTTTAATTATGTTGTGACACAATTTCAATACTTGATTTGAGTTATATATTGAATACACTGATTTAAAATCTATTATTTTAACTCATTTAACTCAAGACATATTTCAAACATTTATTTCCAGCAAATGGGCAGAAAATATTTTCAAAAACTGTCGTCATTACAACTGGAACATTCTTGAAAGGGGAAATTTTGATTGGTCAGGAAGTTTGGCCTGCAGGAAGATTGAATGATGATTCTTCAATTGGATTGGCTGATACATTCCAGAGGCTTGGTATCAGACTAGGGAGGTTAAAAACAGGTTATTTAATTATTTTTTGTTATATATCTTATTAAATTTTTTAATAACTTTATTTATTCTAATAAAAATCTCATTCTTGATGTCGTTTCAATTATTATTCCCTCATTGCTCATTACTATTTAAAACGAATTCAATTTACCCAATCTGAATAGGCACTCCTCCAAGGCTTGAGAAGCTGTCAATCAATTTCAACAAACTCCTCCCATCACAACCTGACAACCCACCAATGCCATTCAGTACCATGAATGAAAGAGTGTGGATTGAAGTGAGAATTACGTTACTTTAATATGAACATCTCACAAAAAATAAATTAATTTGCTTAGATTTTTTGTATAATCTTTTTATTTTTAAACATTATTTTGTACGAAACTTAATGAAAAATGTCTCCAAAATTCATCTTAAAAGGTATTATTTTAAGTAATAATATTGAAAAAAACTTCACAGCCAGACAAGCAGTTAAAATGCTACTATACAAAAACCAACGAGGCAATTATTGATCTAATCAATAAAAATGTTCATCTCAACAGAATGATTGACAGGGGTACCACAGGGCCCAGGTAAGGTAGATGTGGGGGTGTTATTAAAATAGGGTAGATGGGGAATTTTAACTTATTAAATTTATTTTATTTAATTACACTTATTAAGGCTATTTAATTAAATAATTGATTTTGTAATATGAATATTATGTTTAGATACTGTCCATCCATTGAATCCAAAGTCCTCAAATTTCCCCATCTCAGCCATCAGATATGGATTGAGCCAGAAGGTCTATAAGATACTCTCACATTTTTTATTTATTTTTATTTTACTTTATTTTCAGTTTATTCTATGTTTAATTTACCTAAATTGTTGTTTTTGGCTATATTTGTTTTTTTTTTGGTTAGTTTATATTCATCTATGTAATCTATTGTTTGACTTACTTACATCTATGTTTTATTTCATTACTAATATAAATTGTCAAATAAAAATTATAGAGTTGTAAATTTATTGGATAAATTTTCAAATTCATCAGTTTTTCTATTTAGTTAGTTGTTACAAATAACAAGGGATAATTAGTTTGCCAATTAGATAATAACTTAATGAGCTAATTAAAACCTCCATAACGTGACCAGGTTTGAACTCTGACCTCGTGTACCCTCAGGGCCTTTCGTGTACAATGCCGAGAGATGTGCAGCACCGGATTGTGCAATCAATTCCTGGCCTGGAGGATGCTGTCATCGCTGTACATGGTCAGTTTCCGGATGGGTCAGTGTCTGAATGTTGCTATTCGTTGGAATTACTGATGAGATTTGAGAATTTTCAATTTCACAATGATGAAACGATGGTTGAGTTTTCTTTCTCTCAAATGCGTTTTTACCAGGTTGTATTCTTAAATTTAGTTCTTCATGTTTCCAATATGTCATTGCCTGCAAAAATATTAGTTGTGCGAGGTGAATTTATGTAGAAATAAAAGGTTTAACGCAATATATAGCATTAATAACACTCTAAATGGTTCTTCCTTTCTCTCCGTTTGCTCAGGCTATGGAGTTGAGTATGATTACGTGGACGCGCGTCAGTTGAAGAAGACTCTCGAGATGAAATGTTTGCCTCATCTTTTCCTCGCTGGTCAGGTCAATGGAACCACCGGCTATGAAGAAGCTGCAGCTCAAGTTTGTCTTTTCATTATTTTTTTGGATAATTTTTTATTTATTTTTATATTAAAACTATTTTGATGTTTTCAAGTCTAAAAGTTTTTCTTTCTTCTTACTAAAGCACAATTTTTGATTGTATCTCCTTAAGGGCTTGCTGGCAGGCATCAATGCATCACTCACCAGCAAGTACTTACACGTGCAAGAAGAGCATCGTACATCCGCCAGTCAGGTAGTTCTCATTTTTTATGACTTTATCACTTCATTATCATTTTTTATCATCTCATCATCACTCATCACAACTATAGCTCATTATATCCTGATTGTCAGATAAATTAATCAAACTCTCTTCATGGTTTAAAAATTATAACCTGAACCACTAATAACAACTTCAAAATTGTCTTAATAACAGCAACCACAGCGAGATAAACAACATAAGCGCCTACAACAGCAACAACAACAACATCATCAACAAGAGTTTGTTCTGGGCAGATACGAATCATACATTGGTGTCATGATTGACGACCTTACAACACTAGGTTGCTCTTTTCAGATATTGATTATTTCAAATCTAATTTAATTTATTTGTATTATTAGCATTAGCTATTTAAATTTATGTTATAATTAAAATCACTACGTAAAAAAATTACGACATAGCCACTTGAATATTATGAAATTTGTTACTGGTTTCTATCTGCCATGCATCATTTAATCAGGGGTCTCGGAGCCATATAGAATGCTAACAAGTAGGGCGGAGTTCAGGATTAGACTGAGGCAAGACAATGCTGACCTTAGGTTGAGTGGTCGAGGTTAATATCAGTTCAAAGGTTAAATTTAACTCATTTAAAAAGTTGAATTCTATCTCACGTTTTGTCCATCTGTTTATTAATATCCCTTAAAACTATTCGGATATATATCATTTATTCATTTCGTCATCATTACTTTGATATATATATATTTAGATATCTATCGTTTAGTTATGTGTCCATATATTTATTTATTTATTCACGTTTTTTTACCTGTTCAGTTATTGACTGCATCATGTTCAGTTATTGACACATTCAATCTATTGACACATTCAATCTATTGACACATTCAATCTATTGACACATTCAATCTATTGACACATTCAATCTATTGACACATTCAATCTATTGACACATTCAATCTATTGACACATTCAATCTATTGACACATTCAATCTATTGACACATTCAATTGGTTTGTATCAGTTTGATTCATATTACACAAATTCAGGCTACGAAGTTGGCTGCGTGAGTGAAGGTAGATACAAAAAGTTCGCAAAAACACGAGATGCATTGCATGAATGGATAGAAAGGACGAAGGAATTCATCCAGCCTGCTTCCGTTTGGAGGAGGGAGATGAACCTGAATCAACTAATGAACAATCATATTCCTAAGAGGTACTGCAACAATAAAAACATAGCAGCCTTGGTGCCATCTATGTCGTATTTTATATCTTCTTAAGATATGTCATAATCACTCGTGATGAATTCCAATCACCAACGACATCTCTGTTACTAAAATGGTAGACAAATAGGCATAATGCAAACATAATTGTTTGTACAACATTGTTTAGTTCAGCACATCAATACAATACAACACAATACAATACAACACAATACAATACAACACAATACAATACAACACAATACAATACAACACAATACAACACAATACAATACAACACAATACGATACAACACAACACAATACAATACGATATTAATCATTTGATAGACTTATTCGTCAACCATTTCATGCATCATTGATTTTTCCCCCATAAATTTCAGTGCTTTCAGTTTGCTATCTGGCTCCCTAGGGCTCGATACCCTCTTGAGATTCTACCCAGAAAATTTTAAGGATCTGCCCCATGATGAACATCTACTTGCAAGGGTCAAAGTTGAAGGTCGTTGCCAAATTTTTATATCATACTCTGTGATGGTGAAAACGACGGATGTGTGTTTCGTGTTGTATTAGTTTATAGGATAATAATGATAGTAGAAATGATGAAAAAGATGATGAGGAGGAGCATAGTTTTACAATAATGAATTGATGATTTTTGATGATGAATTGATTGTCCTGGTTATGACATTAAACTGACCCTCACTGCCTTGTGAGTGATGTTGGATCATCAAAGGCTAGGCCCACCGCTTATAACTGTGGTTGCGTAAGGAAGGGCGTCCTGTGTAAAAACTAGCCAAATAATAATACTTATGATGATGAAGGGTGAGGGTACAAGGTTTGTGGGGGCTAAAGGTGGAAGATATAAGTTGTGGTGGAAGGGGGATGATGGTACGGGAGGAGTTGATGTGATGGTAAGAGAAGAGTTGGTGGAGAAGGTGTTGGAAGTGAGGCGGAGAAGCAATGGGGTAATTGTGGTGGTGATGGTGTTTGGAAAAGTAATAGTGAGGGTGATATCAGGATATGCTCCGCAAAGTAGGAAGGAAGAGGAGAAGGATAGGTTTTATGATGATGTTTCTGACGAGATTGGGCAAGCGGGGTTGGATGAGTTTGTGGTGTTGTTGGGTGATTTGAATGGTCATGTGGGGGCAGATGCAGACGGATATGAAGGTGTACATGGGGGATGGGGATATAGTATACAGAATGAGGAAGGGCGTAGAGTGTTGGAGTTGGTGGATGCACATAGCATGGTGGTGGGGAATACCTGGTTTACAAGGGAACCAGCGCGATTGATTACTTATAGGTCAGGGGAACATAGATCGATGATAGACTATATATTGGTAAGGGCCAAACATAGGAAGTATGTGAAGAATGTGAAGGCGATACCTGGTATGCTGCAGCATAGTATGGTTGTGATGGATGTGACATCAAAAGAAATGGGGAGGAGGAAGAAGGATAAGTTTGTGGCAAAGAGAAAGACATGGAAGTTGCAGGATGCAGAGGTGAGGAAGGCATTTGAAGTGAAGGTGGCTGAAAATTGGGGGAGTGGTAAGGATGGAGATGTTTGGGAGAGATACAGGGACTGTGTGTTGGCTACGGCAGATAAAGTATGTGGATGGACGAAAGGAAAGTGTAGGCATGGTGAGACGTGGTGGTGGGATGAAGATATAAGAAGGGTTTTGGAGGTCAAGAAGAAGAGGTTTAGGGTATGGAGAAGGGGCATGACGGAGGAAGCGGAGTTTGAGTATAGGAAGGCTAAGAAGGTTGCAAAACAGGCAGTGGCAACTGCAATGACGAAAGCATCAGATAGGTTAATGAAGGAAATGGAATTTGATGTGAGTTCGAGGAAAATGTTAGATGTGGAGATGTGGAATCCGCGGTCACACACGGACCTATAGAGAAGGTGACGATGGAGGAAGTAGAGAAAGCAGTTAGAAAAATGAAACTAGGTAAGGCGACAGGGGTTTCGGAAGTGGCGGCAGAACATATTAAAGCGAGTGGGGTGATAGGAATTGAAGTTATGATGAGAATTGCTAACAGTATGTTTGATGATGAAGGTATACCTGAGGATTGGCGACACAGTGTGTTGGTGCCGTTGTATAAGGGCAAAGGAGATGTGAGAGATTGTGGGTCATACAGGGGTGTGAAATTACTAGAGCACGGAATGAAGGTAGTGGAGAGGGTGCTTGAGAGGAGGTTGAGAAGTATGGTGACAGTTAATGAAATGCAGTGTGGGTTTATGCCTGGTAGTGGAACGGTGGATGCGTTGTTCATGGTGAGAATGTTGCAGGAGAATTATAGAAAGAAGAAACGAAGATTGTACATGTGTTTTGTGGATCTAGAAAAGGCTTTTGTTCGAGTACCGAGGAAGGTCATTGAATGGGCGTTGAGGAAGAAAGGAGTGAATGAGAGACTTGTTAAAGCTGTGATGCAGCTGTATGAAGGGGCAAAGACAAAGGTGAGGGTTGGAAGGGGGATGTCGGACGCTTTTAGTGTTAAGGTAGGAGTGCATCAAGGATCAGTGTTATCACCGTTTCTGTTTGCAATTGTGATGGATGTTGTGTGTGGAAACATAATGGAGGGGTTGTTATTTGAGATTTTGTATGCAGATGATTTAGTCTTGATGGCTGATAGCATGGAAGAATTGCAGTTAAAATTTGACAGATGGAAAAGTGTTATTGAAAAGAAAGGGTTAAAAGTTAATATTGGTAAGACGAAGGTAATGGTGAGTGGGGAAGGTGGGGAGCGAGTGATAAGTAAAATAGACCCCTGTGGGGTATGTGATAGGAGAGTGAAAGCTAACTCGGTATTGTGTATAGGATGTCAGAA